CACTTTGAAGATGCTTGCCTCTTGCAAACTTGCTCAATCCAACCTTGAGATGTTCTCTCTCCATCTTGAGCTTCTTGTTTTCTTCCTTGAGAACATCATTGTTCTTCTCTTCCTTGAGTCTTTTGTTTTCTTCTTTGAGCTTCTCATTCTCAAGGATCAACTCTTCATCATGATCAAGAGTTTCAAGCATAATGGTGTTGTGGCTTTTCATTTCTTCAAGATCTTTCATAAGTTTCTCATTGGTGTTCTTGAGCTTTACATATTCATCATAGTCATTGCACTTAACCACTTGCTTGCCTTTGCCACTAGATCCTTGCTCAATGCTCTCATCAATCAAATCATCACATGATGTAGCTATATCAATCTTAACAACATGGTTAGTAGCATCATGTGGCTCATTTGGTAGGAATTCTTGAGCAATAACAAGAGTATCATGATTGATCTTAAGAGTTGTATACTCATCTTTTAGCTTGTTGTGACTAATGATGAGCTCATTGTGCACCCACTCAAGTTTATCATGTTTTTCTTTAAGCTCTTTCTTAGAGGATTTTAGCTCCTTGAGTTTGGATGATATGGTATCATTAGTTTCTCTAAGCTCATCATTAGCTTTTTCCAATGTATCACACTTAGCTAAGAGTGAGTCATTTTTAGCATCAAGCTTTTCATTTGTAGCTCTACTCTTTTTAATAATCTTAGTGTAGTTTCTTAGTATTTTGACAAGATCATCATATGTAGGTGAATCATCATCATCGCTATCGCTATCATCATCACTAGCTTGCTCATCATCACTACTATCATCATTCTTAGTTACCTTGCGTTCACCCTTGGCCATAAGGCATAGGTGTGTAGAGGATGATGGTGATGATGGCGGTGACGATGCAAGATCAATAGCAATGGCGGCCACCTTCTCATTGTCACTATCATCATCGGATGATCCACTTGATGAATCAATGTCCGTGAGCCAATCACCGACAATGTAGGCCTTTCCACTCTTCTTCTTCTTGTAGAAGTCCCTCTTTTTGCCATCTCTCTTCTTGTATGGCTTGTTCTTTTTCTTCTCATCTTCATCTTCATTGCTTGAGTCATCTTTCTTGCCCTTGTTCTTGATCTTGAACTTGTCTTTCTTGGGCTTTGTGCATTGATGAGCTAGATGGCCAAGTTCACCATAATTATAGCAATCCATCTCGGAGATTGGCTTTCTTCTTGAGCTAGTGAAAAACTTCTTCTTCTTGCCGTCAAACTTGATGCCACTCTTGTTTAGCTTCTTTAGCATCTTGGCGGTCTTCTTTACCATGAGAGGAAGACTTTCTTCATCAACTTCATCTTCACTTGAGCTTTCATACTCAAGTCTTGCCTTGCCCTTCTCTTGGCTAGCTTTGAATGCTAAGTCTTTATCTTTCTTCTTGTTAGAGGTTGAGCCATCTTGTGGGGTGATGTGCATGTACATCTCATGAGCATTGATCTTTCCCAAGATTTGTGTCGATGTAGCGGTGGAAAGATCACCTTGGTGTAGCACGGTCACAATATGCCCATATTTTTCAATGGGGAGGACACTCAAGATCTTTCTCACAACATCGGATGGTGACATTTGAGTGAGTCCAAGCCCATTGACTTCCTCTACAAGAACATTCAGACGTGAATACATCTCATTAGCACATTCTTTGGGAAGCATCTCAAATGAATTTAGCTTTTTAATCACAAGATGATAGTGTTCCTCATGCTCACTCTTAGTTCCCTCATGGAGCGCACAAACGTCTGACCATAGAGCATGGGCGTCTTTGTGGTTCCTTACGCGATTGAACACATCTTTGCAAAGGCCTCTAAAGATGGTGTTGCGAGTCTTTGTATTCTATTTTTCATAATTAACCTCATCGCCTTGAAGATTAGTAGCATCTCGAGGTTTTGGGAAGCCTTGCAAGGCGGCTCTAAGAATACCAACGTCTAGAGCCTCTAAGTATGCCTCCATGCGAATTTTCCAATATGGAAAATCATCTCCCTCAAAGATAGGAGGAGGTCCATCCCCGTGAGACATCTTGCTCTAAGCGGTTAAGCTTAAAAGTGAGAGCACGAGGCTCTGATACCAATTGAAAGGATCAAGATGCCCAAGAGGGGGGGGGTGAATTGGGCTAATTCTAAATTTTCTTTCAATAATCAAATCATACGGATAGCCCAATTAACCTCTTGTGCCTAGAAAAGTATTTCTATCAAACTAATCGCCCAACGGACTTTCAACCTATGTTCCAAATTTACTCTAGCATGGCAATTCTATGAATGTAAAGACAAGTATTGAATTGCTCAAAGTAAATACTCAAGATAAATGCTCAAAGTAAATGGAGAGAGAGAGAGGAACGCGGCGATGTTTTGCCGAGGTATCAGAGAGTCGCCACTCCCCACTAGTCCTCGTTGGAGCACCCGCGCAAGGGTGTAGCTCCCCCTTGATCCGCGCAAGGATCAAGTGCTCTCTACGGGTTGATTCTTCGACACTCCGTCGCGGCGAATCACCCAAAGCCACTCACAACTTGAGTCGGGTCACCCACAGTCTCCACTGGGTGATCACCAAGCTCCCAATTACCATCAAGCCGTCTAGGTGATGGCGATCACCAAGAGTAACAAACACGAACTCTCACTTGACCACGCGAAGCCTAATGAGAAGATGGATGCACACTTGACTACTCTTGATTCACTAATGAGGCTACTCTCTTGGATTCTCAAATCTCAATCACCTCACTAGGACATTGCTCTTCTTGGCACTCACAAACGTGTTTCTCAGCTGTTGGAATGAGCAAAAGCAACTCCACACACGAGTGGAGCTTCTATTTATAAGGCAGCCTGAAAAACGAACCGTTATGAGCTTCTGCGGGGTGACCGAACGCTCCGGTCGCACTGACCGGACGCTCCGGTCAGTTCAACCCGCGAACCAGTGAAAAAGAGTTGACCGGACGCTGGCAGGGTCCGATCAGCACTGACCGGACGTGTCCGGTCGCATAAAACCCTTACTGGAACCTTACTGGACTCGACCGGACGCAGAACCCTCAGGGTCCGGTCGGAAGCCGACCGGACGCGCGTCGGTCCGCAGATTTCCTTCTCTCTCGAACCTTCTTTGAGTCGACCGGACGCGCCTTTCAGCGTCCGGGTCACTCATTTCTCTCCAGCGTCCGGTCACACCGAACGCAGACAGCGATCAATGAATGCGGCCGGACCCTGCAGCCTAACGTCCGTCAGACAGGGAAAGCGTCCGGTCAGCATTTGACCCTCCATTCACTTCCAACTCTCGATCATATATGAATGAAGTTTGCTACAAAGGATCTTAGGCATTCGTAGGAGCTACCTAGAGCTAGTTTTAACAAGTGTGCACCACACGTAACTCACTAGACTTAACTAGGTCAAGCTACCCGTCCATACCCCCTTAATAATACGGCCAAAAGAAAAACAGAGTCCAAAACTTTTTTAAGTGTCTCTCCAACTCTAATCAACACTTAGAACTAGTCATCCTTAACTTTGTCGTCCATCCTTTGAAAACCGAAATGATTTTCATCGTAGGGGCATGACAACTTTGATTGCCCAATTGATTTCCATTAACATGACCTAACTTACTTGCCTCTACAAAACACACGTTAGTCATAGTAATCTTGTATCGTCATTAATCACCGAAACCCAACTAGAGGCCTAGATGCTTTCAGCAATTAAGTTAGATCATGGTAATGGAGATCGATTGGGCAGTCATGGTGGTCATGCCCCTACGATGAAAATCATTTCGGTTTTCAAAGGATGGACTAGTTCTAAGTGTCGATTGGAGTTGGAGAGACACTTAGAGTAGTTTAGGACTTTGTTTTTCTTTTGGCCGTACTATTAAGGGGGGTATGGACGAGTAGCTTGACTTAGGTGAGTCTAGTGAGTTAGGTGTGGTGCACACTTATTAAAACTAGCGCTAGGTAGCTCCAAAATAGCCCTTTGATCCAATGGAGCAAACTTCATTCACATATGATCGAGAGTTGGAAGTGAATGGAGGATCAAATACTGACTGGACGCTGGCTCCGGTTTGACCGGACGCTGGCTCAGGGTCCGGTCAGTTCATTTGACCAAGGTGATTGCGTTTGGTTTGACCGGACGCTGAGAGCCTACGTCCGGTCGACTCCAGTAAGGTTTCAGAGAGGAAAAATCACTACCGGACGCGTCCGGTCAGTGCTGATCGGACGCTGCCCAGTGTCCGGTCACACTGTAAACACTGGAGTTCGGGGTGTACTGATCGGAGCGTCCGGTCAATATGACCGGAGCGTCCGGTCACCCCGCAGAGGCGCATAACGGTTCGTTTTTCAGTCCATGTTATAAATACTCCCTCCACTTGTGTGTGGGGGTACTTTTGCTCATTCAAACAGCTGAGAAACACGTTTGATAGTGCTAAGAAGAACAAGGTCCTAGTGAGGTGATTGAAATTTGAGAATCCCAAAGAGAGCCCTCATTAGTGAGATCAAGGGTAGCAAAGTGTGCATCCACCCTTCTCATTAGGCTTGTCGTGGTCAAGTGAGAGTTTGTGCTTGTTACTCTTGTGATCGCCATCACCTAGATGGCTTTGTGGTGATTGGGAGCTTGGTGATTATTCGGAGAGCTTGTGGATAATCCAACTCAAGTTATGAGCGGTTGTAAGACGTGTTACCTTGGCGCCCACGGCGCCGACCCCCAGGGTCTAAAGATCAGCTTACGTTGTTTAGGGAGTTAAACATAAATTTTCTTAAAAAATGAGCCAAATTGTAAAAAATTAGGTCGTTACTTTACCCACAACACGGAATATGTACCGTTTCAGCTTTCCAGTGCCGTTTACGCATCTCCAGCTTCCCGCCTTCTTCCTCCTCCTGAGAATCTGACCGACCGGCGGTGGGGACTGCCGGACTGGGGAGCGAACAGAGTCAACTGAGCCACGGCATAGCATCCCCCACTCCCACAGTCTCACTCCCACCCCACCAAACCTCGCCGGAGCTCCGTCCTGGCCCCAAACCCACAGCATGTCGCTGGCGACCTCCGCCGCCGCCGTTTCCACACCCGGTGTCCTCATCCACCAATCCACGTGGACCCTGCGACCCTTGCCCCCCGCCCACCTCCGCCGCCTCCTCCCCTCGGGGACCGCGAGGCCGCTCCGAGTCGCCACGGTCCGTCGTTGCCTCCCGGTCACCGCTCAGAGCGCCGCCAACCCAGGTCAAGAACCCCTGTCCTTCTCCTTCCTCACCAAGATTACATTCTGGCGCCTCCGTTCGGCTCGGATTGCCGCTGACTGCGCTTGCCTCGCTGCTCGGTCTTTCTCAGGTTACCTGCCTGAATCGGAGTTCTACAAGGTCGAGGCCATCCTCAGGTGCGGATGCTTCACGAATTTTTTCCCCTTTATTATCGATTTGTGATGAATCCGGTTGGTCGGTGCCGATTGCTGAAACGTGCAGAGTCTGTGCAGGCCGTGGAGGGTGCTGCACGTGTCCTCGGTGAGTGTGGCGCTGGGTTCTTGAGTTGCACGCGACGCGAGGTGTTCAGTTCAGTCAGACAGGTTTGGGGATTGGATTCTGCAGGGCTTGCTGGAGATGGGGATCAGAGGTGTGACGGTGTCGGACGTCCGGGGGTTTGGGGCGCAGGGAGGGTCAACGGAGCGCCATGGAGGTAAAGGCTTGGCTCTACCGCTGACTGTGTTTTGCATTGTAGTTTCTGCATCCCTTATGTTTCAATCCTACAGTAAGTCAGTAACTGCACTGAAACTTGTTCCGCGGAGTCAGTGATGCTTTGGTCATTCTAGTATCATTTTTTGGTCACTCCTTGTTGACAAAAAATGATACTAGAATGACCACTGACTGCCATGTTTTGTTGTACGGTACAATTTGGATGAAATGATCAATGCTAAGGCTGCGGTAAAATTCATTCCAATGATAGGATCTTTATGTGGTCAACATCGGGATTAGTTTCAACTACTGTACACATGACACACCATTGCGACATTGATTCATGCTTTTATCGAATTTGGCACCAATATCTTGATGGTTGGTGCACTGGCATGAAACATGTGTACTAGCAGGATTGGGGGAGCCAGGGAGGGGAATGGTTCTGTGATGGCTTTAGCATTCATGTCCGTAACAGCTAACAACACTTTTGACCTATGACATATCGGAATATTTTGCATTCCTGCACCATCAATCAGCTATGATAACTCTTACTGATGTTGAGAAACATATGAAATTCATACGGCTTCAAGATATCAATGCTGAGTTGCTGACGCTTGTTTTGGCTTTGGGTGTTCAGGGTCAGAATTTTCAGAAGACATGTTTATTGCTAAAGTCAAAATGGAAATAGTGGTCTGCAAAGAGCAGGTGATTGCTTTATCTACTTGTTTGACAGTAATTCTTCTAATTAACAACACCCATGAGTCGGCTATGCAGGTGGCTTTAAGGGTAAAAGAGGATATCGAGCAAAGAAAGAGGGCTTTAGCTTGGGGAGGGGGCAATATCACGACACAAATTCTATAATCTTTTTGGGGGTCATGCCCTTTTTTGCTCTGTACATAAACCTCTTTTCCCTATCTTAATTGAAGGGCAGGGTTCCTGCCATTATGTTAAAAAAAACAGTAATTCTTCTAAGAGGAGAAAATTGCTCTGTGAGATGCCGGTGGGCTAGCACCTTGGTGATGAGCGATTGACAACACGGTGTGCGTGTGACGTGTCTCTTGGCAGGTTGTGGTTGCAGGTGACAGGTGGAGACAAGGTACATGCGGTGACGAGTGAAGAACGAAGATAGGATGCCCTTTTCGGGGGCGAGAAGGGCGGATCGAGGCTTGCGTTCGAGGGACAAAGCGATCGTCGGCGGTGTCGCTCTCATCGCTGCTGACACTTGCAGCAGCGGGAGGACGTCGAGGGAAGTTTCCGGATTATGCCACAAAATCCGGGTTCGCCGTTGAGCCACAAAGCCATGCATCGTCTCGGGACGCTTCGTCGGCGTCGTTGGCGAAGAAGATGGAAATTTCTTCACGATTTCGGATGGTCGTATGGCGGCGACATCGCGAGGATCACATCGCGGAGATGGAGGGATCGCGGACATCGCGGAATTTGCCATGGAGGACGTGAAAGAATTCGCCTCTTATTTAGCGTAGGGGGTATATGAAAAATAGGTCGTTTACCCTTTGGAGATATAAATATGTGGCACCTAGGGTTGAGAGTGGCAGGACGTTTTGGACTCCCGGCGAGTTACTATTCACGCGTGAACAGTACCCGTGAACAGTACTCGTGCCACGGGGTTCCACGGTTCAATTTTCCTCTCTCGGCCTAGCCTAGGGTTTGAATTCTAGTGAGAGGTTTTTGTTGATCTCTCCGATTAAGAGAGGGAGGATGTTCGGGCGGAGGCTAGATGCACTTTTGTAAGTTCAATTACTCGATTTAATCTTTCATCTATAATGATTGATCTTGTGCATCTCGATTGGTTCTTTACAATTCTCGCAACATCTCGACATAGTCTGCTTGTTTTATTTTTATCTCAAGATCCGTAAGTCCGATTGACGTGATTCCAGTTGGGTTAGTTTCGTAATTTCATCTAGTTTAATCTGACAAATTTTTAGGTCGATCGAGTTACGGATTTTCGTCCACATCAGGTTTACTAGGTACATAGAGTTCTGTCCAGATTTGAAAAACGTGATTTATTCAGGTTTTTGTGTTTAGGGAAGGGTTAGAATTTTTTGTTAGAAAGTTTTGGCTTCAACCATTCACCCCCTCCTGTCGCCTGCTCTTCCTTCAATTGGTACCAGAGCGTTTAGGTTTTCTATACCTTAATCGGTCTTTGAAAGCTATGGCGACCAATGAAAAGTTTGATGTTCGCGCTCCGCTTTTTGATGGGACTGATTATGATTATTCTTTGAAGGCACGTATGACCAACTATCTCAAAGGCAAGTCGCTGAAGCTATGGAAAATCACACAAAATGCCACATATGTGATTCCAAATGAGGAACCGATTGACGCCCACCGAGATCGGGCTTCTTGAAACAAATCATCGTGTTGTTGCTATTTTACGTGCTTCTATTTGTAAAACTGAATATGATCGGGTTTCTAGTGAAGATCTCGCTTATCGATCCGGGAGAAACTTAGAAAATATCATGAAGGCTCAAACACCGTGAAAAACCGAAAATTTGAGATTCACCGAAAAGAGTTTGATGCTTTTTGCCAATTGCCTAGTGAGTCTATTGATGACATGTTTGCACGCTTTCAAGTGATTGTTAATAAGATGAAGGCCATGAATAGCAATATGCCTTATGATGATCATGCTAGGGCTCTCAGTTATTACATTCACTTAATGATGAATGGGATATGAAAGTTGAGGCGATCGTTGAATCAGAGGTTATGAGACTCTCACCGCCGATGATGAGCTTTACAAAGAAGCTCAAATCAAAAGATTTGAAATTGTTTCTAAGCGTGAAATTGAAAAATCCCACAACCGCTTCTTCTTCTTCGACGCTCCAATGGCTTTGGTTTCGGAAATAAGACTAACACTAATGCTAATCCAAATGTTTCTAGTTTTGCTTTGTCTTCTTTGTGTCATGTTGCGGATGAGGAGTTGGAGGTGCTAGATGATGATCAATCTTGCTCTCCAACAAGTTTAAGCGTGTGTATGACAACAGCGTAATAGAAGACGTCGGATGGTCGCTTCAAGTGGTGGCGAGGACACTTTGTCATTGATTGCCCAAACAAGCGGAGATCTTTTGACTGGCTCCTCCAGCGCCAGGAGAAGTTCGGGGAGAGGAAGAAGAAGAAGGATAAGCAATGGAAGAAAGGCGGACAAAAATACTCGACAAGCAAGTCGCTAGGGCTGCAAATGTTTTGTTATCTTCTCTTGGACAAGATATGTTTGTGTGGCTCATCGACTCAAATGATTCATTCCGAGGATGAGACACCCAAGAAGAAGACAGACGGACTTTGCTTCATCAACGACGCAAGCATCAATGGTGGGATATGTACTATGGCCTTGGAGGGTGATGCATCAACCGACAAAGAACGATGAAAACTTCCGATGATGAGGTAGATACTTGCAGAAACAAAGAATAGCTAATTTAACTAAAATTGTTCATAAGCAAAATAAAGTGTTGGCTAAACTTAAAACCGATTATGATAAAACTTGTGCTTTGAACTAGCTACTCTCAAAAATGCTGCATCTAATCCTCGCTTGAACTGATGAATGTGAAGAATGCTCAATTCATATGATTTCGCTTTCTAAATTGCAAACCAAGTATTCTTCCATTGTTGATGATCGAGATAAACTTTACGTTGAACTAAATGAACTTCGTTCTCATCGAATTTGCTTGGTACTTGTGTTTCTTGCCCGCTTCGAAAGTTGACTTGGATAATGCTTTATGTCGGGTAAAAAATTTTGAAGAACACACTTGTCCTGATTTGCCGGGATTGTTTGATTTGTCCAACTTTACGATCTGAATTAAATGGTGCTAAATCACATATTGTTGAGTTAGAAAAACACTTGTCCTGGTTCTTCCTTCATGCCTAACTTGTCCTAATTTTGTTGTTGAAAATAATGATTTAAGGGCCAAACTTGCTGATTTGGAAGAAGAAAATAAGCATTTGAGAACTATTCTTGGTTGGTGTTCTATTGGTGAGCCTCAAATTGGTATGGCTATTGCTCAAATTAAACGGGTGGCGTTTTGGTCCCAATTATGACTTGAAACATGTTTTTGGTGAAAAAAGTGGACCGCTTTGATGAGAAGAATCCACCTTTGGCTAAATATACTGGACCACCTCCTAGGAAGGGTTCGGTGTCACCTCGATGGGTTGCTTTGGTTGAGACATCTAGATCTCGCTCCTAAAAAGCGTGTTTGGGCGCCTAAGCCAAAACACTTTCAAGGGTGTACAAAATACTAAGCCAAATGGTTCTTCTTGTGATCATTTTGCTAAGCTTTGCTTTTTGTTGCTTCTAGTTCTAATGCTTTGAGGCTTCATCGCTCCCGCACGCAAGCTTTATCATTGTGATTTTTGCAGTCATGATGGTCATCTTTATGAGTTCATTATCGGAGGATGCGTCTTTAGCGACGTGAGCAAAGATACCACAAGCTCATGATCAGATGTGAGCAAGACTGCGTGGTACTCATGATCGTCCTATTTTGAGAGACGTGAGCCATTTGTTCGCTCTTCTGGTTTTCGCTCACGACTCGTGCTCTTGCACAACATCGGGATGATGTAGACCACATTTTCCCCCTCGTGGTTCTCATCGTTTTTTTGAGAGCTTTGATTTTGCTAATGCTTCTTTTGAGCAAGTGGCTCAGCACTGGTTTTCATTACATTATCCTAACCCCAGTGTTGAGTCATTAGCTCACCCTCGCTCTCGTTGTTGATTGCAGGTTGGAGGCGAGGAGGACATATGGATAATGGACTCCGGTTGTTCGCGCCACATGACCGGAGATGATAAATGGTTCTCCAGCCTCACCCCCACGAGCGTAAAGGAAAACATCACTTTTGGGGATAAAAGTCAAGGTAAGGTAATGGCGCATGGCTGCATCAAGGTAACAGATAAATACACGCTAAAGGACGTCGCATTGGTAAAGAATTTGCATTATAATTTGCTGTCTGTTTCGCAACTTCTTGAGGATGATTTTGAGGTTCGTTTTAAGAAAGGAAATTCGCGTGTTCTTGATTCTGCTGGTAACCTTGTTTGCAAGATTTCTCCTTTTAGACGGATTTTTAAAGCTGATTTTTCTAAATCTTTTGGTGAAACTCGATGTTTAGTTGCTCATGGTTCCCCCCTGATTTGGAAGTGGCATCGTCGATTGGGCCACTTGAGCTTTGATTTGCTTTGTCGTTTGAGTTCATTGGATTTAATTGATGGTTTACCGAAACTCAAGTTTGAAAAGGATTTGATTTGTGCTCCCCGCAAACATGGAAAAATGGTTGTCGCTTCTCATGCACCTGTGACTCGGTGATGATGACGAGACGACCGGGTGAACTGCTACATATGGACATCGTTAGTCCAAATTGTTTCGGTCTGCCGGGTGGAAGTGGTATGTGCTCGTCGTTGTGGACGATTTTTCTCGATATTCATGGGTGTTCTTTTTGGAATCTAAGGATGAGGCTTTCTCACATGTTCATGATCTTGTTCTCGAAGTGAAAAATGAGTTGTCAAATAATGCCGTTAGAGCAATTAGCAGTGATGACAACGATGCGAATTCAAGAATTCTCGCATGAAAGCTTTTTGTTGAACAAGGTTTAGATCATCGCTTTTCCTCACCTTACGCTCCTCCCGAACAGTGTTGTTGAGCGTAAAAATCGTGACGCTTGTTGAGATGGCTAGGACAATGCTTGATGAACATAAAACTCCTAGACGTTTTGGGTGAGGCTATCAACACCGCTTGCTATGTTGCTAATCGATTTTTCTTAGAGCTTTTCTAGGAAAAACATCTTATGAGTTGAGATTTGGTCGACCTCCCAAAGTTTTCCACCTTCGAGTTTTTGGTACATAAGTGTTTTATATTGAAAAAGGAAATTTGGATAAATTTGAATCGCGTTCTTCCGATGGGTTATTTTTGGGGTATGCCTTGCAAGGGCGAAAGCGTACGTGTGCTTAATCTTGATACTAACCGCATCGATGAGACATGTGAGGTCACCTTCGACGAGACAATGCCTTGTTTTTCTTCTCGCTTTTGAGTGTGCAGTGATGACGAGATCGGGCAGGATATTTTGAGGATGAGAAAGAGGAAGATGGATGTGACGACGACGATGACGATGATGCCCACTCATGCGATGCGAGGGGAGCCCGCGCGCCACCTGAAGCGAGCCCTCCACCACTTTGGAGGATGGACCATCGCCGACACGTACATCTCTGAAAGCAGAGCCTGCAGCTTCACCCGATCGCTGATCATGTACCGGCCGCGTAGCTTGAGGGGAGGCGATTTCGAACGTCAAAGACTACGACATTCTGTAATCGTCATCCCGCCAAGAACATAATAGGTAATTTGGATGAACGCACGACAAGGAAAACAGAGGTACGAAAAATAAAAATTATTGTGTCTTTTAAGATACCGCCTTTGTTGCCTCTTTTGAACCCCGAGATGTTGGACATGCTTTATCCGATTCTAATCGGGTCAATGCCATGCATGAGGAGTTAGAAAATTTTACACGGAATCGTGTTTGGGTTTTGGTTGATCCTCCTCCTTCTTGTAAACCAATTGGAACTAAATGGATCTTTAAGAACAAACAAGGGAAGATGGTCATGTTGTTAGAAATAAAGCTAGGCAAGGTTGCTCGGGCTTTTCTCAAAAAGAGGGTATTGATTATGGTGAAACTTTTGCTCCTCGTTGCTCGTTTAGAAGCCATTCAGATTTTGCTTGCATTTGTCGCTTCACGTGGATATAAGCTTTATCAAATGGACGTGAAAAGTGCTTTTCAATGGTTTTATAGAAGAAGAAGTTTATGTTAAACAACCGCCGGTTTTGAACATCCCAATTTTCCCGATCATGTTTTTAAGTTGCAAAAGGCTTTATATGGTTTGCAAGCACCTCGTGCTTGGTATGCTAGATTGAAAACTTTTCTGCTTAAAAACGGGTTCAAAATGGGTTCAGTTGATAAAACTCTTTTTCTCCTCAGGCAAGGCAATGACACTTTAATAGTTCGGATTATGTGGATGATATCATTTTCGTGGTTCCTCTCATGCTCTTGTGAAAAAGTTTGCGGATGTGATGAGTAAAGAATTTGAGATGTCTATGATGGGCGAAATGAATTTCTTTCTTGGCTTACAAATAAAACAAACTTCGGAAGGTACATTTGTGCATCAAGGAAAGTACACGAAGGATGTCTCAAGAAGTTTATGATGGATGATGCGGTTAATTTCTACGCCCATGCCGACTAAGCTACCGCTTTGGATGTCGAGGACGGAGAGCCCGTGGATCGGAAGGAATATCGAAGCATGATTGGGTCGTCATTGCATGTACTTGGATCGCTACGAGGCCGGATATATACACTTTCTTTGTGTGTGTGTGTTTCTCATCA